TTTAATAACCTCAAAGTTAAAACTGATTTTGCTTATGTTGGCATCTCTAAATAGTAAAAATCTAAATATAAAAATATTTCTTATCAGAACCTTTGCACTCTCACTTACCATAAGCTGTTCCTGGGCCAAACTCAGTCCCTGCATCAATCATATATTGTCCCAAAAGTTCTGGGTTGTTTACACGACTTGGTGCTTTTCTATCCAGTTTCTCATAAACAAATTCTTCTATCCTGGCATCTAGGAGAAAGGTTAAAAATAATCAATGTTTCAAAATAGTAAAAGAGCCCGGCATGGTGGCACAGGCCTGTAATATCCCAGCACTCAGGAGATAGAGGCAGGAGGACTGTCAGTTCAAGAACAGCATGGACTACATAGTGAAAGAAATACCGCTTCTCAAAAAAACACGAATACAGGCACCTGAGGAGGGCAGAGGTGTTGGATTCCCTGAAGCTGGAGTGACATGTGTCTGTGAGCTGCCTGATGTGGGTGCTAGGAACCAAACTCAGGTCCTCTATGAGAGCAATGCATGCTCTTAACCATGGAGTCATCTCTTCAGCCCCAATACCTCTTTAAAATATGAAATTAGCTTTTATTCAAGTATATATCTTCAAATGCAATCACCTATAAGGTATGTTAAGAGTATTCTACATCTCTAAAAATTTTTATTTCAGAAATCTGGTAACATATCTTGCTACAAACAACTTTTAAACTTAAAGCTAAAATTGTTGAGTATTCTTTGAGATTTTAAGTTTCAAAAGATCAATTACATAACTTATTATCTAGTGAAGTAACCTTTTCCTACATTTTAGCATTTTAAATCGAATATATGTTCATGATTTCAAAATGAGAGATTTTTGGCTAGGGAAATACAGACACAAAGTATCTAAAAGATCCAAGACCCACATCTGACACCTTTTAGCAGGAGCATGTATTAATTCTCTCTTATGAGTCTAAATATGGGCATTGGAGCTTAAGGAACAAAACAATCCTGGCTTGTATATGTGTGTATAGACAGATCAGCAGTATGAACTCTAAAACTGTGGTACGTGTGATTGTGTATGTGTGCATGTGGGTGCCATGTGGAGGCCAGAGATCGATGTTTGGTGTCTTCCTCAACTACACTAAAAAAATTTAAAAATGAGCTGAAAAAGTCATTGAAATACTCCAGAAGCGGGCTAAAAAGTTAACTGTAGTATGTGAAACTGTTAATTCATAGTATATAAAATACATGAATTATAGGATGTCAGAATATTTCCTTTTTGGCAGAGTCTGATGCAAAAATCACAAGAATTTTAAGCAGAATTTAAAACCCTTTAATTACTGCAAAACAAAAGGAGTCATTCTGAAACATAACCATTTAGAAAATTCTGACCAAATTCCAGAACTTCATTTTCTGATTGTGATTCTTAGCTTTAACAGCTTTTTACCCAACAGTCTGGAGTTAAAAGAAAACTTCTGGGGCTGGAGAGATGGGTCAGTGGTTAAGAGCACTGACTGTTCTTGCAGAAGACCCAAGCTCGATTCCAGCACCCACACAGTGGCTAACAACCATCTATAACCCCAGTTCCGGGGATCTGACGCCCTCTTCTGATGTCCATGGACACTGCATGACATGGGTGCACCTACCTACATGCAAGCAATACACCCATATACATTAAATAAAAATAAAAGAAAAAGCCTATGTTGATTTTAATAAATGGCATAATTAGTAACTGTTTCATTCTGTTAAGTCATTCAATAGACCTGAAAATATGCAGGCAATTCTAAAAATATGAAATTCTGCATATTTCTTTAAACAATCTAATCAAACACTAAAATAACAGGACTTTTGAGGGAAAATAAAAGGTTTAGTCTAGTCTGTCCATTTAAAATCCATGTACTTTTGTACAAACCAACCAACCTGATTTACTTCTTGACATACAAGGGAGAGAAGTATGGTGGCAACAATTGAATTATATTTCCCTATTTACTAGTAAATGATCTTACTTGCCCTTCAGAAAAACACATATTGTAGAACAGGTGGTTTTACATATGTGGGAATTTATATGTTCTGAATGTGGGAACCTCTGGGTAGAGGTTCTTAAGTGAGTAAGTGTCCTTAAGTGAATAAGAAATATCACATGGTGCCCAAAGACAAGAAGCCTCAGTCAAGGTTTACATGCTTATTTTTAAAGGTTACTACAATTTGACTGAAATGGCACAGACTTAATATTTTTATGTCTGAATTTTAAGTCTATGGCATCTCACAACATGCTCACAATAACACTGGGGAAAAGGAAAGCACCCACTATTGTCCCTAGTCCTTCGGTTTTCGAAAAACATCATTATAAAAAGACTAGCTGTCAATACATTTGGTTCTAGTTGAAGTTCTGTTTCATATTAGTTTGTGATATAGTGTAAGTGGTTAATTTACAAGTTTCATTCAGTAATTACTGTGCACTTTATTTGCAAGGCTACTTACTTGTGTGATCCTAAAAACCCCATTGTTGTCTGAAAATCAAGCAGAATAATTTATGTGAAAATATAAAACTTAAATTTAAGAAACCAGGATGTGTAGGAAGGCATACAGAAGTGTCAGACGTGTTCCTCATTTCTTCCTTACTTAGTTCATACAAAGAAGTCACAGATCCAGAAGAGGCAAAGATTCAATTCTTGACATTAAAGAAAACCCTGCTAACAATACTTCTGGTAGACAAGACATTAAAGCTTCTTACTTGGATTTGGCTGCAACAGTATTTCAGTTTGTTTCATTATTTTTTCTGTCCATATTTTGGTACATTCAGCTTTGCTAAGGAGGTTTTCCAAGTGGGCATCCAATTCTGTCTTCTCTGCTTGGCCAAGTTTTTCTTCTGTGAACTGTGATTATTTAAGTAAATAAACAAATAAATCTCAAATATATATTAGGAAACTGTGTCAAAAAGTAGAACATGAATTCAAATCCCAACAATCTTGAACATGTAATTATGCTCCAGTCTTGTGTGTGTATATATATGCATACACACACATATATATATGTGTATGTGTGTGTGTAT